CGACGGAATAGCAATAGAGCATCTAAGCATATATGCACTTTGTGAAGTCCCTTAAAGTAAGATGTAGCTCCGGCATTTCAGAATAACTGGCAAATTTTGTTTTCTTCCGTCGAACTTCATTCGGAATGTCGATGTCGCATCTCGTTTATTTGATTTCACTTCATCCGACCGACGGAACTAATCACCTTTCGCGGCCTTAATCAGATATACCCCCCCCCAATCGACTTTTCATGATTTGTTGCTGTATGGACGCCTGGACCTACAAAGTTTTACGTGTGGTCGACTATCAGGTGGCTATTGTGTAGATGGTAAATGTCGGCGTATGAATTTCACACTGTTAAAAACCTTTAAGTTATATACGGTATCATTGTCGTGCCCTCTATCTGCAACCAGACGTGTAACTAGTTGGTTTATCACATTCCAGTTGCTTGCCTCGCAAAACAGGCCGATCCACTTAAAAACACGTTTTGGCCGTTCGTTCTTTTGTTCGAGGTCTACGATGTTTTCCTGCGCCCCTACTCCAGCGTAGGCATGTTTTCAGTTTTCTAGAGAATCCCCGGAAATTACTCAACCCTGAAGTGAGTTGAAGAGTTCGACAGGCAAGTTTCCCTCAATTCGTCTGAAAAGTCGTCCTAGTCCCCACGTACAGATTACTCTGACAGCGTTCTGGTGTTCCGCGAGAGTCGAGGCGGCGCACTGAGGCGCAGGCCAGTGTAAGATTTGGTACTGCCAATCATAGTAGTTTGTAACTTGCCGGTAATAACAGTGCATAATACCTCTTGTTTAGTAATCATTTAAGGTATGATGCCACTTTAAGGGAGACGCGTTTGCTTCGGTCGTCCTTATAGCCACCATCTGCTGGCTTTTGCCACTTTTCCGTTTAGCAGTCATGTTACTTCTAGACGTCCGCTTTTACTTTTCTGTCCTATTTTATTCGACTCTCCTTTTTCTTGCGACTTAATTCGTGATGCTCTTGTCGCGCCGTTTTTATTTGCTGCAGTTTCCCTTATGCTGCCTACCCTGATTCCAATCTCCTTTCCTAAATATCCGCCGAACACCTCGGTGCTTAACTTGGATCTCAGACGTGTATGGATTTCCGAGGAAATCGTTCTGTTTTAGCCCTGATTGAATAACCATCGACCCGAGGCATTTGTCAAGTTTCCTACTCCTACCATGTCGGATCCTGTTATGTTGGACATCTACGAATTCCCATAGCTTGAAAGAAATTAACTGAGTTTTACCGATGCCCAGTTGCAGACTCAGATCGATTTTTGATGCCAACAAATTAATTCGTCCCTTCCAAAAACAAAAACGGTCAAGACTAAAATCGGAAATGAAAACATCTCAGCGCTGGAGTGGGCTATAGTTAGGTTTGCTTGCTTAGGCAGTGCATACGTTTATGGTTGTCAAACGTTTAGGGGCAACTAAATTCATGGGAGCTCCCAGAGGGGGATGGCGTCGCTGATGGATTGGCTGCCAAACCATGTGTTTAACTGTACGAGATGGTCATTTCTTCTGATCTCGTATTCAGTTTGTATTGTTGACTCGACGAAATCGTGCTGACAGCAATAACTGCAACCAATAACAGCAGTGATAACAAATCAGCCACGAGCACGCTAGTGAGAGTGAACAAGATCAGATAGGCAAAACATAACGGAGTGCCCTAGAGTAGGGTCTTATGCCGTAGCTGAACTGCGAAGCGGAACAGCGGTCCATGAAATGAGATGAAGTAGGATAGTAAATCAGCAAGTCGTCGACTGGGCTGACAAAGTCAAATGAGTGTAGCTGGCATGTTTTGCCAAAGACCTTAAATTTACGTGTTCGCACTACATATGGGATACTGACTGGTATTTCGTACATTGTGCATGTTAGATCCTCCTTGATCGGACCCTCTAAACGAACTTTGGTGTTGCTTCGGACCTAAGTTGGAACGAAGAGTGTGGCGTACGGCTCCTCGCAGAAAGTCACTCTTATTCGACGATCTTCAAATTCGCAACTGTTTCTTCGTTTTCTTTGAATTTCGACAACATCTAGGCCTCGAGTATTCGATACCTTTTGAGGCGACCAGGATGTCAGCGGTTAAAGTCTGTACGGGGAAGAAGCATCAACCGACGTAGTCTTGTATTTGGTTCAGCCTTGGTCATGTCTGATATCACCGGCCCCGATGATGTCGCGAATGGTACCTCTCTAGGCGTGGCAATATGCGGCAAGGCATCTGGAGAACTTGAATCATTCTCACCAGTGACAGATCAAATGCAGAAGGTTCAAGAACTCCTATCCTGTCATGGCGAACTGTGTCGGGCCAGGTTCGGATCTGGCCTCATCGACGCCTCCAGATAGGCAGGGTCGCCTAACCGAGGACATCGATACCGAAACCATGAGACGAACGACGAAGAACGTGCCTGAAACACTTCAGTCGCCTTCTCTGGGTGACCTGAGATATCGCGATTTCGTACCTTATGGAATGTTTTATTCGAAACCAAGTCAGTGTGCTTCATCCAAAGGGTGATCCTCCGGCAGCGATGATCAAACACCTCCAGTTTTCACTCGTCATGCACGCTCACAGCCGTATAGGATTAGTGCCCGGCAAACGCGCATCTTTGTAGGAGAGAGCTCGAAAACACTGTTTCCCCCACCGTCTATAGATAAATGGGCGATGGAATACAACCTTGTCGGCCGATTGGGAGGGATTATTATGAGCCAGAACTGGTTCAGTGGTACAGCGGCAATAGATTTTGACTATGGCGGTGATTTTTGCCAGCATATTAGCTAGTTTCATCCACGTCCAGCTCGAAACCCAGCATGGTTGTGTCGCATTCTCGATTCAAGCACGCTGCAGCCGTCTGAGAATGGCAGCAGCAAATACCTTTGCAGCAAAGTCAATAACGTCTATGTCGCGGTAGTTCTCGCACTTTGTCTTCTCTTCCGTCGCGAGGACAGACGCAAGGGTGCCCAACCTCCACCCATCAGAAACGACGTTATCTCTCTACGCTTGCCCAGTCACCTCATGTGGACAGGACGCCAGCGCCGACACAGAGCTTTTAGATTTCAGCGGAAATACCGTCCTCTGCAGGCGTCTTGTTGTTTTGCCTCTTTATCGTATCGACAATTTATACCTGAGCAATGGGATCATATGACACTGTAGTGGTTGCAGAGGAGAGCGAGGGCGCAAAGCTAAGAGGATGTTCGAGGAGCTTACGTCAGTTCTCGATCTTGACGGAGTTGTCAACAATAAAGCTGCCGTTCACATTCCGAACAAAGTCACTCAGTGCAGAGGGTCCGCCACCAACTTAGTGGATAACTCAGTAGAGTTTTCAAATATCACCAAAGTTTAATGTCTGTTCCATGGATGATCGCCATTTCAACCAAGCAACTTTGTGGTCATCTTCGGCCGAATTTACCTTCACTTCTGGAGTTGACGAGAAAAAAATAATTGTTACGCGACCTGACTCCAGTAGCTGGGCAGACAACTTCTAGCTTCTTAGCCGATGCAGTCAATTAGACGTTGTTGAGTTAATACAAGAATTTTTTCATCTGTCTCATCGACTAATGACTTCAGTAGGGACCACTTTCTACCACATTATCCTCCGGCTCGGGATCGGAATTCTGTACTCAAGGCCTCGGCCGTATTGTGTTGCCACGGTTTTGTGGCAGAAAGTTTTGCGCGTAACGATTTTAGTGCAGATTAAAGATGAACTTTAAGGCGTGTGCGAACCAGAATATAGTCAGTGGTACGTAAGCAAGCCGGTCGTTGACTCGTCCCCACGCAAATAGTGCTTATTGCGAGGACAATAGACACCGTGTGTACCAGGAAAGTCACATCGCCCGCCATGGTATAGGATAAAGTCGCCGGTATGCCATCAGGTGTCTCGTAGATTGTGGGGTGGACGTTCGTTGCTGAACTGGCACTAATTCATAGAGGTCTACCTCCGTCCCTTTTCGACCCGAGTACAGTTGTTGAGGTCATCATGCAACCTACTTCGATGCGTCTTGCTATTGTTCTTTTGTAAACTGTGATCTGACCGTGGTTTGTAAGGCCGTTGGAGACAAAACTACTGAGGCCTTCTCATTTAGAATTGTCTGATTCAGATGGGCAGTTGGTGACTGCATAAACGATTTCCTGGAGATTGTCACTACGAAAGTATGGATGACTTTGAGGCTCGCGGGTTAGTCGGAAACTAGCGGCTCCATAACTCACATTTAGGCCTATGCGGATGTAGGCCGCCCACGAACCCATCGAAAACTGAGCGCTTGTCGTTTATTCCTGAATAAACTATAGACTAACTCTAGATAAAACCGGCGTTTTTGCAAGATCCACAGTTGCTGCCCGAAATGTCGTTGCATCATACTTCTACCGATTTATTTGTCCCGAAAAGCCAGCTATTTCTGGCAAGATAATTTTCAACGGTTTTCCGGCCCTCAGCGACAAGCGTCTGACCGTTTGCTGTTTCCTCGTCGATCCGCACAGCCTCTATCCCTGCTGTTAACTGCTCCTTTCGTGGATTTTCGGTATTTGATCCTTGTTCTCTCCTTCCCCACCCTTTATCTTTCTTACATAACACTTGTCAGTCCTGTATCTTCACACTATGTAGTACTTATTATTACGTCTGAGACTCGCACTTAGTCTATTCGGTGTTTTGGAACATAACTCTGTCTGATCGGCGCCACCAGTTTTGCGTTTATTAACTGGCTGCTCAGTTGGTGATAGTCGTGGCTTAGGCTGCCAACTTGCATCTGTACTCTTAGAACTTGTACGCTCCTCCCCGTTTTTGGTAGTCTGAACTGACAGCCCTTTAGTCGTTGGATTAATGCGCACCTTTCGAGGCTCTTTTATTCGAGGGAACTAGAGGCCATCCAGCAGGCAGATGCCACGTACGCTTCCTATTGTCCAGTCCTAAAAACCATATCGTTCTGTTTTTTTGCGAAAATTAACTTTTAGGTATACTTCTGAAAATTTTCGCCGGAGGCTGAAACTTCTTTAAAGTCCTTTTCTGGCAATTATGTGGGCTGTTGGGGAGACCTGCCTATATTCAAAGTCTCAAGGCGTAGACTACACTTTTGCCTGCATCAAGGATGTTGATGATATCCAAAAGCGACTTCTCGTGGGCTCTTTCGCCGAAGACGATCGTCCTGAATGGGTTCCAATGTCTTGTGTGCTTTCCATAGACAACGAAACTCAACTTCTCAGTGCAATCACCGCTCCAAACGCAAACGCTGCGTGCGAGGTAACTTCCTTTTCTTGGAAAGCCCACCTGTTCTATCATCTTACAAGCATTGTCGCTGTCCCCATATGTTAGTAGTTCTGCACCGTGACCTCCAATGTGCGCACCGTTCACCTACGACGTTATAATTTCCCGTTCATAGCTGTCGAAGATTTAATTGCTCTTCTCTTATCCCCTGTTCACTGGGAGTTTTCATCCCTTTTTTACGGCTCAACTGGGATTTCTTTGTCTAAGATGTTTCACGAGTATTATTTAATACCATCCTTTTAATCTTCCGAGGTTATTTTCGAAGTCTATCATACTTCTATAGTATAGTTCTCATTTGCGTTATTTTTTGACATTTCAGGAGTTGGATAAGCTTTTTTATACCTCAAAGGTCAACAAAGCGCTCTCCCTGGAGGATAATCAGGAATCGGTAGGTGTATAATCTCCCTCATTTGCCTGCCTTCCTAGCTTTCTAGGTATAGCATACCAGAGCATTCTGTGCAGCAGAATCGTGTGCACGGCTCTGCCTGGCGGGTCGGAGACATTTGTATTTGCCAGTGGAGTGAGGATAAGAATTACTATTACGCTGAGATCCGGGAGATCTACACAGAGACTCAAACATGCAACGTTGCATTCCTATTTTACGAAAACGAGGAAGTGGTCAGCTTGACTGATCTCTACTCTCACAAGGCCCCCGAGGCGAGACTCGTTACAGACGAGAGCAATATCAGAACAGCAGCCGAAAGGCTCATTTCAAATTTGTAAGTTTTTCTTTCCCTCTCGGTTCCCTCTTCCTTCAACTTCCGCGGGATAAGTCTTGCGCTGTTTGTGCTTTTATCGTAGGTGCGACAAAATGGAGGGGGTCTCTACCAAGTCTGCACCTGTTACCGTGAATAAACAAGCAGGAGACAAGAGCAGCTCGTTGAAGAACCCGCCCTCCACAAAGGCGTTGCCAACAGAGAATGCTCAACGAAAGGAAGTAAAGCCTGAGCCTCCTGTCGTATCAAGCGCCACTGCGACGGGGAGCCTCGCTCCGCCCCCTTTTCCTGTCCCCTTCTCGTTGCCACCGAACTGGACGGATTTGATTGTCGCTGATCAAGCTCCTCTTCAGGCTCTCTTGACTAGTTGGTTTATGTGCGGTTATCATACTGGTTACTACGAGGTGTGTCCCTTTCCCCCATTTGTTAATCAATCTTAAGGTATGCTGTTACTCTGTTAATTTGGGTAGTATCTCACTTAATGCATAAAAGTCAGAAGGCATCGTAGTTCCGTCTGTGAACTAAGTCAACTTACTCTTTTCTGCGCCGTTCTGCCGTCCGCCTCCCGCCATACATAAACCTTTGTATGGCTTGTTCGCCAACTTAACTACTAGGGATTTAGTAAAACACGGGTGTCCCGCCTCGTAAGAAAGCGACCTGGCTCGTAATTACTTGAACCGGCTCCAACTAATTCCCCAGTTGCAAAAGTTCCGCCTACCCTAGGCATAGTACGGCAGTTGACTTGACTAGTGGTCTGCTAAGAGGCCGATTTCTCGTGCACCTCCAGAGGCTGTTGTAACCCCATAAAAAGTTTGTAGCGTATACTCAGAAAGCTTACTAAATAACCGTCTGAACCAGTTGCACCCACACTATTAATAGAGCACACCGGTAAGAATTGATGGAGTAGGGAGGTGAATATAGAACAGTTTGTTTTTTTGATCCAGGTAACCTCAGACTTATTCAGCTAGCTTGAGGTTAGGAGATCTACTGGACCGATGGAGCGATTGGAGGTCAGCTCATGCTTCTAGGCGCCTGTACAGGGAGCGCCCGCGGCGGTGAGACATCTTAATCCCGGTAGTTGCACCACGACATGCCATGGCCCGTTAGCGCCTCTTCTTGCTTTGCTCCATTTGGGGAGTCTTTTATTGTCCATAATCATCATCAACATGATCCCCTTCTCCCTTTTCAGGGTCTGAAGGCCCGGGAGTCGAGAGGCAGCCATACGCCTAAACGTACAAATTCGTCAGCGCCTACCTAACATGAACTGTCTGCTTTCTTATTTATCCCCCTTTAAAACCGCCAGCCTTCCCAAGATTGATATTATTTTTTTGGGTATTAAATTTTAAAACATTTCTGAGCTTCTTTTAAACTCTTTAGTCAACAAAATAAACGGTTTTGGTAGTATGCGTGGCTAGCGAGACACATTTCTGAACTTATTCCACCAGTTACCGGTCCTATTTTGCGTTTTTCCAATACGCTTTTAAATAAGCGTAAAAATCCTGGCCATCTTGAACCCTGACCAGACAGTGGAGCTAGCTGATAAACACAAAGTTCAGCTGAACTTTTTTGGTGTGTTTTGCAAGTCACAAACTCTTCCCAGACGGCTTTTAAAGAAAGAACCGCTGGTGGCCTTCTTTGGATCTCGACCTATATCGATTCGACGGTAAATTTTTCCAACCACAACAGCCCCGATGTGTTTTCAAAATCTGTGAGCACGGTATTCCGTTGCTCGTAAGGCAATTTCAATCGTTTCATCTGCCACAGTCATTCAAACGCTTTGCATCCTGCTAAATTCAGGAGTGGGCTGCGCTCAAAGATTAGATAGTAACATCTCCGCCAACCCACAATTTCGACTCCAAAATCAGTCAAGGACGGCTTATGAGCGAGAAGCCCTGCGTGAGTTGGCTCTGTGTCCGCGAGCGCTACCCTCTTAGTGTCAAGTAAGTAACAGGCTGGGGGACATCGGTCGTGCTGTTCATGTCCGTTTTTTGTGTTTTCATTCATCTTCGTTCCGCCTATGTCGCTAGGTGTGTGTGAAGAACTAATCAGTTTGGTCACGGAGTCAAGAAGAGTGGGGTTACTCTCTCTCTCTCCCTCTCTCTCCCTCCCTCTCTCTCTCTCTCTCTCCCTCTCTCTCTCTCTCTTTCATTGTCCTTATGCCTCATACAACATTTCGACGCGCATACTCGTATTTGCTGTGAACGCACCCAATTTCCCCTCGTACAGCTCCGTTCGCACACGACAACGCTTACCAAGGAAAGTCCCGGATGAATGCGTTTCTAAACGGGGCTGTGTTCCAAAACGGAGTGCAGGGATGGTCCGTTTTGCTTTTCAGCTGCAGTCAACAGTCCTCGTGGGCGGTCGCATAACGACTGTCAGTACTGGAGAAGTGTTATCAAGAAAGACAAATATTGCCTGCATGGCCAGCGCTGACTTCTTTGTCATTGGCTGCCGGCCATACTCCAGGCTGACAGGACATGAGACATAGAGGAGAGATGCAGCTGGTCATTCATCCAAATGCTAGACGAAGTTTTATCGGCATGGTTCTGAACAGTAAGGAAGCCAGGAATGGACACTTCAGGATCTCTGATGTCTCTCAGCTATATCACCCGACTAATCATTGCTCGCTGTCAGGCGACTGTAGGCTGTAGGTCTGAGTTCAGAGGCTAATCGGAAAATAACTTCCGTTCAGCTATCGTGGCGGGTCGGTGAGCGTCACGTCCATGATACTTAGAATGCATCTTGTCAGAACTGAGACAGTCGTAGTGCTCCAACTGTACATAGTCATCTAAGAGCCCGAGTTACATCAGAGTTTTACTGGGAATCGTGGCAGAGTCTTGCGTAGGTCTAAACGCACATTCTGAGCGTGCGGCAACCTGCCTACACTCGTTAATGCTCATTCAGGCACTGCAAGGATAGTGGGATATGCACATGGACCTGCCTCATGGTCCTCTGTCGCTGGTTGTCGCGTTTTGATCTGTAGAGACGAGACTGTCGTCCTGTCGTATGGTCTGTCAAACATTAAGTGGGACCATGAATGTCGCTGCATCTAAGTAGAACGAAGCAAACATCCTGCCTAAATCCCACGTTGTGTGCAGTTCCATGGAAGTAAACAATAACCATGATCACGAGTTTGGGCAGTGAACTTTATCCTATCTCGCAGGCACATTCAGGACAAATGTGGGGTCTAGTTTTTTCGGCATCTCGAAATACTGTTTTACCACCACTTGGACAGCACGTTCACGTTCGCATTTTTAAGGGAACATTCCGGATTTGCCGGCAGGACTGATTTATGTGGACGTCTGAACAGGAACCGCCTGCAACACGGATGGCTGTGCGCCAACCTCCAGTGAAATTAGGACTAGATTTAAGATTAGATTTAAAGTTAGCGGTAACGTAAGCCGGAATCAAGGTACGGGCTGGTGTCTGAGAGAGAGAGAGAAAAAAAAATTCACTTTATTTTGAAATCGTAAGTTCAAAATTTTCAGCAAAAATTGGCTCCATTCACTATGGGCAGTAAATAAGTTAAGAGATTATTCGAGAGTCAAAGTTTAACACAAAGTTACGATTATTATGGGGATAGTTCAAGTCTTAGCTTCTGTATTTCTATCTCACACGTAAGATAGCGCGCTAGGAATGGCAATACAGAAGCTCGATAAGCCGATGTGCGACAGGATATAAGTCGGAAGTTGCGGCGCATCTGGCGGGAAGACTTCAGATATAAGATCAGAATGTAAGGGATGGGTAACGTTATCTAGAATTCGACCAGCAAATTGCTTGACCGCATTGAAGTGTCGTTGTAAGATAGTGTCAACTAAAAAAAGATAAGAAACACCAGCAACAGAAGAGAGCATGCGGAGGACCCGTTTCAAAATTAAAAGATCCTTTTTTAGCAAAGCAGGAAAAATGACAGGAGAGCAGTATAGGATAAGAGGAAGAATGCAGGCATCAATGAATCGCCAGACTAAGGGTTGAGGTGTGTGGTAGGAACGTAAACGACGTATGTAATAAAGAAGTTTACGAACTTTAATAAATAGGGCCTCAATATGGAGGGAAAATGAAAGATTTGAGGACAAAGTAACACCGAGGTAGCTGAAGGAGGATACTTCGTTAGAAGAATGTCAGAGGAATCAGGATTAGGAGAGGGTCGCAGTCGAAAAATACAGTGAACTGGTTTTTGGTTGTTAATTAGGAGACCATTTTCCTTCGACCACGTTAGGACATGGTTTAGGTCATCCTTTAGAGACCGGAGGTGTGTCTGACTTTTGAGAGGGTGTCCAACAACCACATCATCAGCATACTTGACCAGAAGACAGTCATTAGGGGACCTTAGATCAGCAGTGTGGAGGGAGAAAAGGTGAGGGGATAGAATGGAACCTTGAAGAACATCGCAGTCATTGGGAAGGGTCGAAGATTTCCGCTTGCCAGATTGGACAAATTGAGTGCGGAAGGTAAAATAATCTCTAAGCCAAGAGACGACCCAGTCTGGAGAGCCGCATGCGGAGGTTTTGGTAAGGAGAAGAGAGCTGTATGGTAAAGGTTTAGGGCGAGGTTAGGGTCAAGATTGGGGCACGGTTTAGTTTTCCACCAGGGTTATGTTGGAGTCAGGACACGGGAATGTTTAGCCCTCTTTAGAATTATGCGCAAGTCTACCCTTATCACTTGGGCGGGCGTCCCTATTTCCACGTCCTCTTCAGACGTCCAAGTAAGTCAGTCCCGCCCACCTATCTCACTGTATTTGCCTCCTCAAACGAGGTGTTCCAACTTCCTCTGAAAAATGTAAAACGAGGGGAGACCCGCGGTGTAGGCCTTCATACCGTGTCGTCCATTGTGCCCCGTCTCATCACCGATTGGTTGACAGACTCTGACGGTCGACTGATGGAGGGGAGAGAGGAGGAAGGCACTAGGGTCGACACCGGCACATCAGCCCATGCCTCACTTCAATATATCTGACGCGCTTTTAAACTATTACGACGCGCTGACAGCCGTGACGTGGAATACTGCTAACTGACGGGACCAGTCGGTCTTTCACAGGACTGATAGTCAGGCTGGAATGGCTCCTTCCCAATGCGGCCCTTACAGCAGCCAATTGCATGTAGTGGGAACCAGGCCCTGAATGGCACACGTTGACCGGCTGATTAACTTTGGCCGTTAGCGCGCACGTGCACACATCCGGTCATCTTAAAATTGACTTGACATCGGGGGTTCCGTTTTTAACTTCAACGGAAATGTTCTACCACGAGATGTCTCCCCCATAGTTACACGGCAGTCAACCCACAGTCAGTGGCCGATCTCCTGAACTATTAACCGAAATTCTAAAGGGCTTTTTCGATTAGGAGGGATTACTTGAGTGGAGTTGTAATATTGGTTATCCTGTGTCATAATCCTGTGCTATTTTAGGCATGCCAGTATGTTGGCTTTTGAATACCCTTCGGTCGCCTGCAAAAACCGCACTAGGTAAAAATGACTGCTTAGGTAGTATATATTTTCTATGTCAATCTCCTATGCTGTTATAAATTAAAAAAATTTGACGAAAATACGCACAAAATATTTTTCTTGTACTGATTTGATAGCAAGTCATGTCATCCTCAAATTGTATACGCGAAGAAAGGGTATCTTTTGATTTTAAAAGTTTCTAAATATGAGTTTTTAAGACTGCCATGTCCATTCTAGTAGCATCGTATGTGTCTGTGAAATAATACTCTCTGTCAAGTATATGACATAGTCCACATCCGTCACAACATTTTATTAGCCACATATGACGTAAGGGAACGAATGTTTTCCCTTATACGGAAAGCATAAAGCTTGCGGACTGAAAGCCCTAAGTAAAAGTATACTGACAGATCGAGTTCAAAATTATTCGAGAATAGAAATCCTTATCAAAACCAAAATATAATCTTCTTTTTAGTTCAGAATTTGAAGGAGACATGATTTGCTACTAAAGGAGGAAATGATATTTTTATGGGGGTTTTCTGTAACATAATCTGGAATTTACAAAGGCATCTAAAATCAATAGAGGGAGTGCATACTACTTAAGTAGTCATTTGTTTACCGAGTGTGGTTTTTGCAGGCGACCGAAGAGAAGTGCATTCAAAAGCCAACATCCTGGCGTGTCTGAAATATTACGGGATTAGGCCACAGGATAATCGATTTTACAGCCCCATTTCCTAATCCAAAACACGTTTTAGAGTTTGGGTTAACATTCTATGAGATCGGTCATTAACTCCAAATTTCATATACTGCCCAGAGCATCAGTTT